GCTCTGATTGTTTTTGTTGTAGAATACGATCGGGGATATATTCACACGTTATAGAAACGAAAATTATGGTGCATAAAATTGATTTTAAGATAAAAAATAGACGATAAAGAATTAACTTGACGGAGCTCAAACTCAAAACACACGGCAGCAACAAACAGGAAGTGACGCATCCTTTAGTTGTATCACACTCGCTTAGTCCAGCCATGCCGATATACAGCCATATCTCACTTCTACTCGTGTGATACTGCTCATTTAACAATTAAGCAAACTTATTTTCACACAGTAAGTTTGAGTGACAAAATGTTCAGTTGTGTTGCATTAGCTTATTAGAAAAAAAAATTGAGCAAGAATCACAAATCTTCAGTCTACTGGAATAAATTATAAAGACAGATATTCTGTACTTTATGCTTCACTTTTATTGCTAAATCTGTGTTGATATAAATCAAAACACAATGACAAAAAGGGGACAGTCCTTTAGAACTATGTATAAGTGTCAAATGTATTATAATGGTGGTTCATCACAAAGTGAATAATTAAAATTGCTTACTGCACAATTCAGATGAAAACATCTGAAACCTTGTAACTTCAGATTCATCCAAAAGGCATTTAAAGGGTGGAGCTACACACAAAGGAAAGAAGAGTGAAGCCTAACAATAAAATATGAAATATTTCATTGTAACTTTTTTCATATGTTGAATTAATTTTTGTTGTTTCAACAAGTGTATTCAAAACTGATGTGAATAAATTAATGCCATAATAAAAAATGCTAAACACTTCATGTAGGGCACATTTTTTACGATCCAAACAAGGACAACATTAATGCAAACCATTTTTTTTCCTGATCAATTGCTTTGACTATAATCATTCAGTTAGGTTTAGCAGCTGAACCTCTTTTCCCTTTTTCTATTTGTTTGTACTTTTGTAAATCACCTTTATTCCTCTGTGTTTTTGGTATTTGTCACTGGGCACTGTAAAAATATACACACTAAGAGTGCCACTGTAGGTCGAGCCATTTTTGTTTCCCTCTTGGGTGGAATAAATACCATCACACCTCTGAAGTGGGCATGGACAACCCATACCTATCAGACACTTTTTTTTTTCTTTTTTTCTTTTTTTTTTTTTTAAATGAGTTTTTGTACTTCATGTGATTTTGGATTAGAATATTGTATTGATTAATTTCTGTATGAAATTATTAAATAATTATGAAATCACTGACCCTTTAGTAGAAAGCAGTAGCCTTTGCATCAAACTGTTGTGTGTGTTTGCCTGTGTTTGTTTTGCACCTTTAATGAATGATTGATTCACTTGAGGATCATCTCTGCATGTAGCACAGGTGTTAACAGCTCCCTCAGGTGCACATTTCATAAATAACAAGCCATAATGTCCATAACAGGGCCTCAGAGTTTACTGTAATCCATTTCTTGATAAAACAACAAAAGCACTGTGTGTGTGTGACATTTCAACCCATGAGACTCTAGGAAATGTTTTTAGTGTTAATTATAGTAATTCCAACAGCAGATCTATAAACAAGTATTACGCAGGACACTCACGTGCAGCCGTCTGTCTCTTCTGTTGACTAATCGCTTGATTAATTTCTTACGCATCTCATCCAACGCCTGCACTGCTAATTCCAAAACGTCATTTAGACCTAGTAACGGAGGCTTAAAGGGATAGTTCACCCAAAAATGAAAATTTGATGTTTATCTGCTTACCCCCAGGGCATCCAAGATGTAGGTGACTTTGTTTCTTCAGTAGAACACAAACGAAGATTTTTAACTCAAACCGTTGCAGTCTGTCAGTCATATAATGGAAGTGAATGGGAATCACGGCTGTGGCGGGCGGTGACTTGGTGGGCAAGTGACATAACCGGTGTTGCGTCTTAACACCGGTAACACCGTCAACACCGACTATCGCAGCAAGCCTAATCCTAGGCTGGAAGATTGTGTATTGTGCATCTTTCAGCAAAACATTTGTCTTTCTTTCAACCCCTTATGTCAGTGGCACTCTGTGGTGCAGCAGGATTTGAAGAGCATCCTTAATCACCGCAGACAATCGCAGAGAGGAACCGATGGTGTGCGTACACTCATAGAAAACAATGTTTTCGAATTTGAAAGATGTGGCACGGCCCAGCGCTTCTCGTCTGGTGTACGACCCCCTTAATCCTGTTTGTTCTGGAGAGAAAAGATACCTGCCTGTGAAATTCTTACCTACATATCCTTGATCAACACTTCATGTGCATGTTAAGTATGCTTGCTCTGAAAAGTATTTCCTGGGAACGCTTAGTTTACCTTCTTTTGGAACTCTGTGTTGGAGCTATGGACTACCATACTCTTAAGTTATATTTTGCTTCAAGATACCTACTGTACCTAATTTCTGTGTATGGATGTTCCAAGCCAGCTGTCTAGTATATTCTCAGAGAGTGACTATAACTGTTTCTGTTATGGCAAGTGTTGTTTTTTCTGATTACCTGGATGCTTGTAGCGATCGTTAGATCGCCTTCTATATGTGTGACTCGTATCTACCAAAGACAGTTTGGAAAGATTTGTGACTTGCTTGCATACTCACCTCTCGATATTTACCAGTTTCCTCAGTTTCGAATTGGGTTCACCTCTGTCTTCTGAGTGATGTGTTGTAACACAACTGTATATTTGAGGATTTGAGCACCCATATGTCACATCTATCTATCTATCTTATCTATCTATCTCTTGACAGACTGCATTGCCTTCAAAATATTCAAACTTTAAGTTTTTATAACTACTTTTAAACTTCAAACTATTTCAGACTGAAAACCATCAAACTTAAAACTTTTTTTTTACTTTTTAAACTTTTCAAACTTTCTGGTCCGGCTTTCTCAAGCCAACTTAAAGTTTGTCTTGACAAATTTTTTTATCTAGTTAAAGACTGTTATTCTTCATCTTCTTCTTCGTCATGCGTGTGATTACCTCACAGCTGTGACACCATACAGCTAAAAAAAATTAACCTTACTTTACATATGAGGGATTACAGTATATCTTCCAGTGTATGTGTAGCACTTGACTAATTTGATTAATAAAATAATGTTCTAATGAAAATGTGTTTTTTATTAAAAAATGTTTAGTGTTTAATTGATTTAATGTTGTAGTAGCCATTTGATAAAAAAAACGAATTTAATTCAATTTAAGTTGTTAACTTACCCTCTTTTCCTGAATATATAATGGGTAAGTATGTCTTCCTTGATCATTACAAAATTATAACGAACTGTAAAGCAATTACTCTATATAACTCTATATAACTATATATTAACTATATATAACACACATATCTGTTAAATTACTATCCTGAGGCTGGTTTATGCCAGCGTATACCCTACCAGTGTAAGTAGTGTTATAATGTATAGTAAATAATAATTAATATTCATTCATTTATTTGTAAAAAAAAATAAATAAAAAATACATGGTAACACTAAATTTTTTGGGTCTCTTAACTAGCTTATTAGCTTGCATATTACTAGAATATTAGCCATTTATTAGTGCTAATTAAGCACATATTAATGCCTTATTCTACATGACCTTATTCTACATCCCTAATCCTACCCAATAACTAAACTTAACAACTACCTTACTAACTATTAATAAGCAGCAAATTAGAAGTTTATTGAGGGAAAAGTCGTAGTTAATAATGAATAAGTGTTTCCTATTCTAAAGTGTTACCAAATGCATTACTATGGGCTGTTGAACAGTCTACTGTGTGGATAAATGAATACATACAATAAATAATTAAATGTCATTATGCAGCATCAGAGTGGGTGGTAGATGGGTTGGTCAGTCTGATCCAGACACTGAATAAATGAAGGCACAGTACGGAGAGCAGAACAAACTCCTAACAGGAGGAGACTCACACATGGCCTATGAGACAGAGGATCATGAGATTCAATACTGCTTTCCTGCCATCAACTCATCATGTATCAAGGGAAAACACTCCAGACATGAATACAATATCATGTATATGTTTTTTTCATTGCTGTCAGCATGGACTGTGTTTCTGAACCTGCTGGTGATCATCTCCATCTCTCACTTCAAGAAGCTTCACACTCCAACCAACCTGATCATTCTCTCTCTGGCTGTGGCCGACATGCTTGTTGGATTTGTGATGCAGATAGATGCCACGAGGCTGATTGAGATGTGTTGGTACTTTGGGGACACTTTCTGTGGACTGTTTTTGGCAATAATAGGGCTGCTCATTTCAGCATCTCTTTATAATTTAATTTTAATTGCTGTTGATCGTTATGTGGCTGTGTGTCACCCTTTACTGTACCAACAAAAAATAACTACAACTAAAACTTTGATTATCATATGCATCTGCTGGATGTGGTCTTCAGCATACAATATTTCCTTCATAACAGATAACAGATATTTTGATCCATCAAGCAGAACATATGGGTGTTATGGAGAGTGTCCCTTTATGATTAACTCTGCCTGGAGTATGACTGATCTGTTTGTGTCTTTCCTTTTTCCTTGTACCGTGATTATAATTTTATATCTGAAGATATTTTATGTTGTACATCACCAAGTGAAAGTTATAAACTCCCTGATGAAGAGTGGTAAATGTGTAACGGAGGGTTCAGCGAGGAGGAAATCTGAGAGTAAAGCTGCTTTGACATTAGGAATCATTGTGAGTGTTTATCTGCTTTGCTATATTCCATACTATATCTTGTCTCTAACAGTGAATACAGTAATTTCTTTCAAAATAGTAAGATTTCTATTATGGATTGTGTATATTAACTCAGGCCTGAATCCTCTGGTCTATGCTTTATTTTACCGTTGGTTTAAAGTGTCAGTTAAACACATCTTAACTCTTAAAATATTTCAGACAGCATCCTCTCTCATTGACATTTTTACAGATTATAATCAGAGCTTATAATGGATCATAATTGTTGTGGGGTTTTGATCCCCCCCCCCCTGTGTTTTGTTGTCGTTGTTTCTTGTCATGACTTTGATGTTTATATAGTATACATAATTACTAACAATAATCAGGCTGAATTTTGAAAATATTTATGGCTCAAATCAACTTTTGATTGTGCTGTAGTATGTTTAAATACTGAATTAAATAAATAATATACAAATTTCTTCAGCCAGTTTGTAATCTGACAACATCATCAATCATTTTCAATATCTGAGGAACTGTATTTGTTTATTTCACACCTTTAATAAACAATTCAGTGCAAGATCATCTCAACATCAATAATACATGCAAAACATGAATAATGCCAATTATAATTGTGTTTCCGAGTTTTCACATCAGTGATGTTTTCTGACAGAGTAAAGTGTAAGCCAACTGAACAAAAACAAGTCCATGTATATGACAGATCAATTGATTGATTTACTTTAGTTTTATAATATCATTCATGATACCTGAAGGACATATTAATAAATATGTAGTTAAATAATGCTGTGTACAAGTTCAAGATGCAGTGAATCTGGTAAAACGCATTTCATGTTTGCATTATTGTTCATATTTGTCTAATAAATGAACATAATTGCTATTAAGGAAATTAAGTTTAGTATAAAATAATTTTTACCTACTAGCCTGTTATTCAGTTTATTTTAGACTGAATAGGTTCTGTGGAGTAAATTAAATCGTATGACTCGAACTTGGGCAAACTGAGTGGCAGTCACTTGGTTACCATTAACAAAACTTATTAATGATTAAAAGAATGTTATCATCCAATCATTATCAATATTTACATGGTCTAATTGTAGTAAATTTATCTCTGTCACACGTTCCACATTGTCCTGCAAAATCTAGTGACCAACAGAGCAGTATCCAAGTGGTCACCATAAAAGCGAGCCTGTAGAACGTGCAACAGTGCCGCATTTTCACTCTAAAACATGCAGTGCTTATGTTTATATTATGAAATTATAGCCTTTTGATTTTTAATAATCACATTAAAGACCTCTTCGAATTATAATTAAGATGTTTGTTATATAATTTAAGACTTTTTAAAACCCTGCAGGGACTTGTTTTTTTTTTCACAAATGCTCCTAAAGATATTTTACAGACACACACATCTATTCTTAGCAGCAAATGCGAGTGAAATGCTAGCACTGTTGAGTTCTACTACTGTAGTCTGTGTGCTACAGTCAGTGGCTGTTAGAAACAGTAATACTGTACTACAGAGACTCAGTATTACAGTACAAGGATTAAATATGCACAGAGTAATTTTCTAATTAGTACATTTAGTATTTTTTTCTGGCTGATATATAAATGTTCTTTTTTTATATTATTGGTATGGATATAGCAACACACAAAAACAAGTGGTAACACTTTAGTATAGGGACCAATTCTCACTATTAATTAGTTGCTTATTAGCATGCCTATTATTAACATATTGCAGGGCTCCAGACAAAAAAAAAAATACTTAAAGGGGTCATATGATGCTGCTAAAAAGAACATTATTTTGTGTATTTGGTGTAATGAAATGTGTTTATGCGGTTTAAAGTTTAAAAAACACATTATTTTCCACATACTGTACATTATTGTTTCTCCTCTATGCCCCGCCTTTTTGAAACGCGTCGATTTTTACAAAGCTCATCGGTCTGAAAAAGCAAGGTGTGCTGTGATTGGCCAGCTATCCAATGCGTTGTGATTGGCCGAATACCTCAAGCGTGAGACGGAAATGTTACGCCCCTCACATACTGCTGATGCCGTGTCCCAGCCGGAGCAACGACACAAAAACATTAAAACCCATTACAAACGAGGCATTTGTTGCATCCAGTGGGGCCATAATTACTGATTATAATGACTTATACTGTCTTTTCACGCGTTGCGTTGCATTGCATCGCGCCGCGTAAACATAAAACCATGGCTGCATTTGTGATCGGAGAAAT